CAAATCGAGAGAGAAAGGCTGCTGCCTAGTGGTGGCAATGAAAGACGGAGAGCGAGCTGCTGTCATGGACCACCATGGGCCGCTGGACTGCTGCTCCTGGGCCAAGGCGGGAGAAGGGAAGGTCTCCTGGCTCCATCCACCTCCGTCTTGCATCCTCTCGGGCAGCAAACCTTTGTACTGGACTGCGCTAGGGGAGGGTTGGTACCCAGATGGCCATCTCGTTTGTCTTTCAGCAGTGGGCTGGCTGGGAGAGCACCACCTGCCAGACCTGGCTCATGAGGCTCCATTTGGCAAGCAGAGAGGTCCCTCAAAGTCCTTGTCAATGAGGAGCCATCAGCACTAAGCCAGGGAGTTTCCAGAAGAGGATTAGAGTGGTTCTTACAACACTCCATCATATTCCTCAGTGACATCACAATAAATTATTACTATTAAAAGCTGGCACATGGCACAAATTATGGAGAACTGGTCACTATTAGTGTGGGTAGGACAGTATTACTGAACACTAAGCCCATATGAAAGCATTACTTTAAAATCTAAGAAATACAGCCATACAAACACAAACCATTGCTAAGCAGTGGTAGATTGTAACCTTGGTTACAATCATGGTTACACCAGCTCCAGGTGCTCAAAGTAGCCTGGAAACATGGGGCTTCCAATAGTGACTCCAAAGCAGAAGGCACTCTTCCAGTCTGCGTAAGCATGGGAGCAGCATATGGGAACAGGAAGGTGATATTGTCTCTAAACATGCTACTACAATTCTGGTATTGTATTCTATGTCCAGCACCGATGTCTTCAATTTAAAATTGACATAGGAAAAGAGGAGAGGAAAAAAGCCACATAAATTCTCTGAGGGCTGAGGGAAGAAAATATCTTGCATTGAGGGCCTTCAGCTGGGGTTCAGTGACATTAAAATCTGGTTTAAGATATGTCAGATCAAATAAAAAGTGTTGCAGCTACTTGACACGTGTCCAAAAGCAGTACAAATTAATCGTGCTGGTTTAAACCTGTTCCTAGTATGATGAAGAGGTAATTTTATCCTGACCAGCTTCATGCTGGATGAAGTATCATGTGTCTGCATCACTCTAGCTCTATGCCAGACCTAGTAATGTCTGTTTCCCTGTAGCTGGCATAAATCCACCATAAAAATTATAATTCGGCATGAACACAATACCACGTGCAGTAGCTAATGCATCAGAAATATGATCACTTGCTTCTATATTATCTGGATCACACTAGTGCAGATGGAGGACCTGACATTTCTGTAATAAGCAAATTGAAAGATGATCTGATTACTGTATAAGTGATATCATAGTAAGAAAGTACTAAAGTATACTAAGGAGTGCTTTAAGTTAACACAGAATGAGAAATAGCAAGCACCACTGTAAGAAAAATTAAGGCTAGTCAAATTCAAGCAAGACACTTCAAATATGTTGTTTAAGCGATAGTAAAGGAGTTCAGAAGGCTACACTACCAAATAAAACAGTGGATTCACCATAGAAAATGATGGATTCTTCATCTTCTGGGGTCTTCAGACCAAGACTTGAAGTTACTCTCAAATACATGCTTCAGTCAAGCACAAGCTACTGGGGCAGCACAGCTGGTCATAACACAGAGGAAGGCAGAACAGCTAGAACAGCAGTCCTTTAAAAATCTATGTTTCTCCATTATGGACTACCTTGTCCTTCTCAGCATACCTCTAATCAAAACTTCCCTTCCGCATACATGTTTGGTATAATAGGTAAGACAAAATTAGGAATGATAAAAGCTTCCCTGTGGAGAGAAAGAAGTCACTAATTATAAACAATATATGCATAAACTTTTTTTCTGCTTCACACGAACACGAAAGAATGCTTCAATACAGATGGCAGATCATTAGCAGTAAAAGTTGGAGTAGATGAACAAAACATTTATAATGAAAAGCGAAACGGGTTTATTCACTTCAAAATTTTGAAGTCAGAAAAACTGCAGTAGGCGACATCCATCAAGTAAATGTGATTTTATTATCGATCATTGTATGTTTTACTCATTATACTTGCGGTCAAGTTTAATCATGAAAACATTTTAAACTGTTGTTAGATTATTTCTAGTACAGATAATAGGTTGAATAAATATCAAAATAAAGTCTGGCTGTTCTATCAAAGTACTAAACCTCTTTTCAAACACTATATGCTGATCAAATGCCCTAGCTCAGCATGACCAGTACTTCTACTTCTAACCCCTGGCATAACCAATGCCATTTTACAAGGCAAACAGCCATAATACATAATCATGTATCACACCCCACACACACACCACGATCCCACCCCCCCACCCCCCACCCCCCTTCTTTCTGCTCCTGTTCCAAACTGCAATAGGACTATTTGCACACTAGTATTGCTGCCAGGATGTGGTGGCACCCATTATGGAAAAGGGAAGCGTAACAGCACATGAGAGACTGCCTGTAAAATCCAACAGCTGCAAGTGGACTTCTGCTGCTGGACAGCAAACCCTGTGATCCCGCTGGTGGTCAGGAATGCCTCCACCAACACTGTCTTCTTCCTCCAAGGACCGAGTGAGGATCTCAAGTTCTTTTAAGTAAAGTCTGAGTTTAGATTACAATTATCATGTCATTCACTTGTTGTCATTCTGCAGGGGGTTCAGGTAACTGAGAACTCCAGGTAAATAAAAATTCTAGTTAATAAGAAAGCCATGCAAATTATTAGAAATTCTGTTTAACCTCAAGCTATGCTAATTGCTAAAAATTCTGTGTAAAAATGAGCTATGTTAATGCTAGAAATTGTAGATAACAATAAGCCATGCTCATTGTTAAAATTTTTATGTAATAACAAAGCTCCAATTATAACACAACCCTTTGGCCATTGGTCGTTCTACCAAGAATCCCGCAAAGAACCTGCCTGTCCCCATAGCCTCAGGTGACACCCAGAAAACCTCCTAATTTGTGATTGTTGTTGCTCTTTCACGTAACAATAGAGTACTGATAATTAACACAACATTTCAAATATTAACTGATTCAGTAGAATCTCAGAACGGCTTCATGAGAAGAAGCTGCATCCTGCAATAATAATACTGGAGGAACATGTAGTATCAGAAACAAACTTGTTTGCCATACAGGCTTTGTTACAATGAGGGCTTTTGTTTTTACAAGGGAAGGAGTATACTCCAGCCACAGATGAGAAGACCCCCCAAATTATCTGAGAAATAAAGTGTATGAAAACACAGTGTTTCTGCCTAAGTCGAGTAGTAATGTTGAAAAGAAGCCATTGACTCAAAAGATGTATGCATACCAGCAGGGTAACATTTATTTCAGTCATCCAGTGGTGCTCGTTGATTTCTGATCAGAAATTCTTGAGAACAGCAGAATGCATTAAATTCAACTTAGTATAACTGCATGTAATTAATGCCTCCAGCTTTCTGTGAGCCAAATTTGTTGTAAGTGGTATCCTCCACCTACCTTAGTGCAGCAAAGAAAAGATAATGTTAGTGGTAACGAATATATCCCTAACACAGTGGTTTAGCACTTCAATCCACACTCTGTTTTAAATTTATCTACAACAGCCTACAGTTTCTATCCCTAAGCTGTCTGCAGAAATACTGCAGATGGAATTTCAACATATTGATTTTGGTTGAGTTGCAAATAACAATTTCTGATTAATTATTATATTAATGTTTTCTAGGAAGCAAAAATATTTAATTTATATATAAAAAATAGAAAGTAAAAATACTAAAAATAGAATTAGGGATTCTATTTAAAAATAGAATTAGGGATAAAAAATGGCAAACTAAGTCAGAAAAAGGTTTGCCTCAAAAGTTACATCGCTCTTTAATACATAATGGCATAAAGTAGTCACATGCACTTGCCGTGTAAAAAGCCATTTTTTTCCCCATGAGCAGGAAACCAAAAGTCAAATTCCTTATGAAAGAACTCAATAGAAAATTGGATTGGAGCAGAAGACAAAATACATTCAGTTGAATATGTCAGAAGGTACACTCTGGTGATGTACTCCAGAGCCAAGTTCCACTGAGCGCAGAACCAGGTGACAAATTGCAGAGCTATGTCACTTCAAAGCTATCACCATCAGTAGGTCAAAATTACTTTTTTCTTTAGTGAACACAGAACTCATTAGAGTTACAGCATTCATTGACATCTGATATGACAAAGTTTCTAAAAGAGAAAAAAATCGGTACTTTGGTAGTGAAGTGAGAATGATGAATTGAGCACAAAGGACCAACTTTCGTGCTGTGGAACAGAAAGCCTGCATTGACTTTGCTTTCTCCTGTGCTCAGTGCACAGCAATACGGCTCACTCGGTGCTTGCTCTCTCACCGCTGTCGTGATTTTGCATTCGGGCCATCCTCACGCGTGTTCCCACGGCTTGCTTTGGCGGCCGGCGCTGCTCCCGGCGCTGCCTGCGCTGCGCTCCCCTCCTGCCGCAATAAGCACTTTGCGTGTTCCTTTACATAACATTTGAATTAGCTTCATCCAAAACTTTGCTCCAGCTTAGCGAAGCCTCATTCTATTTATTTTCTTTCTTTGTTTACTTGTCGTAAGATAAAACCCCAAAGCATACATCCTCTCCCCTGCTTCCAGCATCCGAGCACCACCTGCTCCTTCCCTCGGCGGCCAGGACGGGAAGAGATGCCCGCCCGACCTGCCCCTACGTTTCGATCGAAGCCCGGGGGGGGTGCTGATTAGCTGCTCCCGCGCCCCCCCGCTGGCGATCACTCGGGGGACCGCCCGCGTCTGGCAAGGAGAAGGGAGCGAGTAACGCTGCAACCAAGACCTGCGCCGACCCCACCTCCCACCCGGCCCCGGCTGCCCCCATTCCCGCAGCTCTCCTTGCACCTTTATTTTCCCTGTTTCCCGAGGGGAGGCCGCAGCGCTTCGCCTCCGCCGCTCGCCCGCCCCGGGAGCGCTGCGAGCCGGTGGCGGGGCGGCTCCGGGCGGCGCCGCGGGCGGGGGAGCCGGGGAGAGGGATCGGAAGCGGTGCCCGGCGGCGGTACCTGTAGAAGTAGTGCCAGCAGAAGAGGCAGCACAGGAGGCGGCAGCCGAGCGGCTCGAGGCGGGGCGGGCTGCGCAGCGCCAGCAGCAGCGCGGGTACCAGGAAGGAGGGCAGCTCCTGCAGGAACCAAGCGCAGCGCGCCGGTACCCGGCCCCGCGGCCGGCACAGCCGCTCCTCGTGCTTCCCGTAGCGGGACGGTACCCGGAGGTAGAGCGAGAGCTGCAGCAGCGCCAGGGCGCCCAGCAGCGAGCTGAGCGCCAGCACCAGGCTGGGGAAGCACTGCATGCTCGGGGGCTGGCGGGGGCACCGAGGCGAACAGCCCTCGGCCAGCGCCAGCCCCGGCCTTATTAGAGCCGCGGCGGTCACCCCGCCCCGCCGCGCTGCCTCCCATCGCCCGGGCCCATCAGAGGGCGCAGCCCCTCTTGCCGGCGCGGCGGGGGCGCCCCAGCCCGCCCCGAGGGGAGCTGCCCCCGCGGCGCCCGCTCCGCACCCGGGCCCTCCCTCTGCAGGCCCGGTTCGGTCGCGCAGCCCGCGCCCGGGTGACGGCGGCTGTCGGTGAGGTGGCGGCACCCACCGGGGGAGCGGCTCGGGGCGAGGGCGCCATCCCGGCGGTGCCGGGGGTGATTCCCGGCAGGAGGCGGTTGCCGCCGGTGAGGTGGGAGCGGCGGCGGTTCCTTCCCTGTGCCCGGGCAGGTGTGGCGCGGGCAGGCGCGGCCGCTGGTACGGTGGCAGCCCGCGGTGTTTCTGACGCTGCTCACGCCTCGCCGCAGCTTGCCCGGGGACGTGGGAAGCACTGGCTGAGCTGCCCGCTGCTAGCAGGGAGCGCCGCGCCGCTTGTGTGCAGGTGGAGGGTGAAAGCAGAGAGGTGCTGAAGGCCGGGTGAGAACTAACAAACGCCCGTGGCAGGACTAGGGAAACCCAGCCCAAATCCTGCAAGCCTGACAACTCCAGCTCCTATTTGGCATAGCCAGGCTATGCTTAATCATAGAACCACAGAATAGTTAGGGTTGGAAAGGACCTTAAGTACACCTAGTTCCAACCCCCCTGCCATGGGCAGGGACACCTCACACTAAACCATGTCACCCAAGGCTCTCTCCAACCTGGCCTTGAACACTGCCAGGGATGGAGCATTCACAACCTCCCTGGGCAACCCATTCCAGTGCCTCACCACCCTCACAGTAAAGAACTTCTTCCTTATATCCAATCTAAACTTGCCCTGTTTAAGTTTTAACCCGTTACCCCTTGTCCTATCACTACAGTCCCTAATGAAGAGTCCCTCCCCAGCATCCCTACAGGCCCCCTTCAGATACTGGAAGGCTGCTATGAGGTCTCCACGCAGCCTTCTCTTCTCCAGGCTGAACAGCTCCAACTTCCTCAGCCTCTCTTCGTACGGGAGGTGCTCCAGTCCCCTGATCATCCTCGTGGCCCTCCTCTGGACTTGTTCCAACAGTTCCATGTCCTTTTGATGTTGAGGACACCAGAACTGATCTTTTCAGTGCCTCAAGTTTCAGTTAAGGTGGTCCTGATGTAAATGCTGGCTTTGGGGTATGATCAGAAAAGCTTTGGTCTCAGCCACATGAAGTGGTTTTAACAGTATACCTACAGCTATATTCCAGGAATTTGGCTTTTCTTTGCCTGTTTCCTCAGGGATCTTCATTCACAGAATGCACTCTGTATTGTTATGGGCCATTACAGCATACCACTTCAAGCCCATGAATTACTGCTGCATCTGTGTCATTTTGCAGCATCACTGAGAAAGCAGCCAATTCAGCTCTGCTAAGGACTGAATGCCACACAAAATGCTGTTGTGGAGCAGAGATGGGAATTGTTGGGGTTTTTTATTCAAGGTCTGAGTGGTGAATGCGCTGATCTAGGATGTGGGAGACTTGGGTTCAACCTCCTCCTCTGTTTAAGGTATTCTCTTTCTGCAGAGGCTGACCAAACCACTAGGCTACACACTATCCATAGCCCAGGAGTGCTTGTTCTCTTATGTTGGCTATTCTATGCTGCAGTTCCTTAAAGCAGAGGAGTTGAGTTCTTTCACCTATGGACAGCTTCTCCTTTATCCTCTGCAGAGTGCTGTAGCTGCTGAGGTTTTGTTTGTTGCAGTACATAAAACAGGTCAAGGCTGTTGTGGCCTCGGAGATGTGTGGCATATTACGGCTGTCAGCCGCATGCTGGAGCACTCTTCCCCCGCAGAAGGTGCCTGTTTACCTCCAAGCTGCCTGATGGAGACAGTCTCTGGCACACACCATCTCCCAGCTGCATGTAAAAGAGGGCTAGCTGTGCCAGGTATGCTGGCCATGAAACAGTAGAGATGGTAGCAGCCTAGTGGCCTTGGCACCTGTGCTCAAGCAATAGCTCCTGGCTGTGAACCACCAGTGGAGGAAGCTGTCTGCAGGAAAGATTTAGAAATCTAAGGCTGTATCTGATTAGGAAGAAGTGCAGCCCAAAAGAAATAGCTCTGTAGTGAAACAGCTGGATATGAGGACCCAGCATCCATACTAATTCTTTGGGAATTACTTCAAACTACCTCTAGTGTGACACAATGAACTGAACGCACATTAGCAATTAGAAGGGCATTAGAGGCATTCACGGAGTGCATCTCCTGACTTAGTTTCATCTGAAGGAAAACCAGTGATGGACTCAGACTGTTTCATGAAGCAAATCAAAGCTCAGTAGCTAGCTGGGGACGACTGTGGGAATCACTTCGGGAGTATGCTTTGGATTCAAACCAGAACTCTAAGGGAGGCACAGCATAAGAACTAGAGGGGGCTGTGATCCAGAAAACAGCACTGGTAGGTTCAGGTAGTCATTGTCCTCATCGTCCTGGTTGGTTGGATTCAAGCCAAAGGGGGCTAGTTCTACTTATTTACAGAGGAAGACAAATGGGGTGGGAATTCTAATGTTTAAATGCTGAGCTTCTCACATAGAAACCATTTCCAGTCCACGGGGAGAAGGAGACACTTTTAAGGGGAGATTCATCTCATCCAGAGAGATAATAAAACAGATAAATTACTGAGAAAAGGCTGTTTCTCTCCCTTGACTCCAAAAGATGTCTAGCCGAATGTGTAAGGAGAACTGAGTCCGAGTCAGCTCTGTAAGTTAGAGCTCTGAAATAATTTCTGTGGACAGGCACTCCTCTAAGTACCACAGCACAGATATTCATTGCTGAAAACAAACACTGCATGTTTATTCATCGCATTCAACCACAGGACCAATCTTCCCCTCATGATTCTTTCTTCTTGCCTAAGTACCACATCAGAGATCATGATGAGAAAGGTGAAAGCAGTGCTGCAGAAGCATTCTTTGTATACATCAGTGGGCTCTGAGAAGGCGGCAAGGTGCAATGCTGAAAGAGTGCCATTTGTATAGGATCACCAAAGCTTTATTTTAAACCAAACTTTTTCCCATGGGTGCCTACGTGGATGTTTGTTTCATAAGCAAAGGCACACCAGACAGTAATAAATCTTGCCCTGAAATTATCTTGAGCCATCAACATTGGGCTCCAGTAAATTACAGATACTCCAAATGCTTTTTTGTGTCTCAAAGTAAGTAATTCAGTGGGAGTATTTGTTGGAAGAAAATACCTTGTCTGCAGGCCTGATGATTTTGAAGGGAGAGGGGGAAAATGTACAGTCTAAGCCCTGTTTGCTTATCTGATAAGACTTCAGAACTCTTGGCTTGTTTTATTTTTGAAGAGAAAAATCCAACTCTTCTGACAAATTGAATTGTACCAAATGCACAGGAGGTACAAAATGAGGCATGTCAGAGGCACACATTCATAAATAGGAATCATCTGCAGAAAGACTGTGGGTCATCTATAAGTCTAGAGGTCTGTGATTTAATAGGTTTTTCAGAACAAAGTTATAGGTGGAAATCACGTTGGTTTTGTACTGCTCCAGGTCTCTTCCCTGAGTTCAGGAGGCAGCCAAGAATCAGCATGGTCCAGTGCAGAACCCCAGAATGGCTGGAGTGTAGCATTCCCAAAGCACAACCTGCCACCATCTGACATGCCTGTGCCTCCCCTGACCCCATAGTGTATGTCTCTGCTCTGTGTGAGAATAGCATGGCTCTGTTTGGTTGACTTTCTGCCATCCAGAGAAACTTCTTACCTGAGAGAGCTCCCCTAAACCGGAATCAGAGCACAGTGGAAGAAATGGTTTTCCACTTTTACTGAGAGGACCTGGATATTGGGTGTAGAGAGTATCAGTAGGTGTACAGTCCTTGCAGTTGCACATCTATAATCTTCAGGAAGGGGCTGCAAGAGTAAGTTCTGAATGAGAACGCTCAATAAGTTGAACAGTTGCATAAGGTAGTTCCTTAGATCTCCCAGAAGTTATACGTGCAGTGCTGCTATTTTGAGCAAATCTTTTTCCAATGCTGATACGAATGTAACTAGACTGAAGTCATCTAGTCCATCTCTAGTCATGGAGCCGTCAGCTGCTGTTGACACTTTGTTTTACATCATATGTACCCAGCACTGAATAGAAATCAGTTCATTTCCTCATGTTTCATTTCCTATTGTGCTATCTATCCTCATATAATTTTTAATGCCACAAGGGCACAGAGTTAACAATCTGATATAGACATTTCCCTCTCAGTCACAGCAGCCTTTTACTACTGAGCAGGAACTGTCATCTACTGACGTAAGAAGCTGCATGACTGTCACTTTGCATCACGTTAGATCCAGCAGGTGAAACTTAAACCATTTTAAAAAGGAGAAAATTCGTTTCATTTTCCTTCAGTCAAAGATATTGTCGCATTACAAAGGGTAGGAACCAAACACGTGGTTGGTAAAACTGCATTTTAAAGGCTTGCTCTGTGCCGTGTGCAAGAAACTGTAAAAAGCAATTAGAACTGCACGAGTGTGCATTAATTTGACTTGTGACAAAGTAAGCTGCTGCTGTTGTGTGTACTCCTAGCACTGATGAAACTGTGAGAATAGGTTTTGAGGAAGACAGGGCAGAGTGCTCTAGCGTGTGTAAAGACGGAGGAATAAATCTCCTGCAGGATTACCTTTAACCTAGTGCACACGGAGTTTTGCAGCAAGTTATTTTTAATAGTGGGTTTCATCATTACTGGGATGAATATAAAAACTATGACAGACAAAAGCCCCAGAACAATAGAGACTTAATGTTTTAAGGCTGGCTTTCCTTTCACTTCAGATTTTCTTGAACATCATTTACATAAATCAGCCACGAGATTGGAATCAGATCTCTCCTTTAATTAATCTTATTTTATCTAGTGACATTGTTGCTGTGTTGTCAGTTTTTCACATCTCATCCCTGAGAGCACAGTTCTTTCAGCAGAGAAGGAAGATACCTTTACACCCACACTGCTCCCCCCACTCCATTTGTTAACAATAAAACATCTTCGCCACTGAACGTTACAAGATGAGAAAACGCACTCAGGTTAACTGGTGCATTGAAGCTCAGCCAGAGAGTCCCAGAATGAAAAGCAGGGGGAGCTTGAGGAGCACAAGAGAATC